TATATCTTTTTCAAAAAGTTCAAAAAAATTTTTTAAGATTTATTTATTTATACATACAAGAGCTGGGGCATAGGCCAGAGGTGGGGGGGGGGGAGGACCCTCCAGAGACAGAGCGGGGAACAGAATAGGCACACCAAACCAAGTGAACTGCTGAGAAGAGCAGCAAACGAGCCAGGAAAGGCCTGTTGCGCCATGCGGGCCGCTCTCTGGCCGACCGGGGATCGAACCCGCACTGCAGAGGCTGCGGACAGCCCCAGCCTAATGGCCACACCGTTGCTGAGAGGTGCCTATGGTGACTGGCTGCATCCCAACCTGTCGCGCCACCTGGGAGGCTCCCCCAAAGATTTTTTAATTAAAAAAAATAAAGGCTGCATAATACCCACAATCATATTTATTAACTTAAATATTGATGATATTTCCAATTTTTTAATTATAGTAATAATGCTTTGAATCCATGTTTCAACACTGTGGAAGTAGTTCTGTAACAAAAATTTCCAGTAGACTTGGTAGGAAAGCACAGATTTAAAACCTGGACTAGAGACTTGAACATAAGACCATAAAATTTCTAGAAGAAAGTATCAGTGATAAACTCCTTGACACTGTTTTTGGCAATGACTTTTTGGATTTGACACCAAAAACAGAGGTGACAAAAGCAAAAATAAATAAGTGACACTACATCAAATTAAAAACCCTCCGCACATCAAAGACAACCATTAATACAATGAAAAAGCAACCTACTAAATGGGAGAAAACATCTGTAAATCATATATCTGACAGAGGGCAATATCCGATATGTACATAAAAAACTCATACAACTCAATCGAAGAAAAAAATCTGACTAAAAAAGGACAGAGGGGGAGGGGAAAGCACAATGGACTATAGTGGAGGGCCATGAGTATCTTGGTGGTGGAAGAGCTACATGACTACACAAGGGGAGGGGGGTATCCTATACTGTCAAAATACTAACAAGGATGTAAAACAATGTACTTCATTAATTTTTTTTTTTTTTAAGTAAAGGACAGAGGATGCGCACAGGAATTTACCGATAGCCAAAATGCAACTCAAAATCACAAGGAGCTATTACCTCATACCTGTTAGAATGGCTACTGCCAAAATGGCAAGTATTGGCACGGATGCAGAGAAAAGGAAACCCCTGTGCACTGCTGGTGGGCAGCACCCTATGGAGAACACCAAAGGGAGGTGGGAAAGAGCCCCTGACAGTCCTCAGGTTCTAGGACACATGAGGCTTGCTGTTTCCAGACACTTCTCACAGCTAGAATGACCTCTGTAAAGTCATCGCCCCCCAACTCAGTGGCATACTCAGGAGCACACACGGTCTCCTGCATTCTCCATCCAGGGCAGCTGGATGTTCTGCCAAAGTCCACAAAGGAGAATTAAGGAAGGAAAGGAGGGTAAAGAAACAGGACTTGGAAGATGATTAGGTACTGCACACTTTTTAACTCTTGAGGTGGGGGATATCTGTTGTCCTCTCTCCTAAAACATGCACACCCTTAATCAATTCTCCACACAATCTGGACAGTGGGAAACTGTAGACCCTATTCCTCAGAACCCCTAATACAGAGAACAAATCAGAAGGCTAAGTCAGATACTGAACCTTCACACGTTTTGTTCAAGTCAGGCAGAGCAGAGAAGACAGTGAACTGAGCTGCATACATTTAAACAAAAGGGGATGGTCAAGCACTCAAGATAGGTGGAAGCAATGGGACTGGTGCATGAATGAGCTTAACTTGAAAACAGATTTGGGAATTACCGACAAAAGAAAGACGTACCCCAAAACTAACATATAAAGAAGAGTACTGGGTCAAGGCCCCCAAAACTGTGAACTGCCTGTGAGCAGAGGATACATCAATGTGAGAGGAAGAGGTCTATAGAGACAAGGAGGCAGAAGATCTATACCCTCCTGGGGGCCAAGGATAAAACTTTCCTCCCCACTTTTCACATGGAAAATCTAGGGTTCATAACCTTCTGGGCCATAGGACACATCAGGAGGAAAGCACTGTAGCCTTAAGGTCCCTGACAGTCCTTAAAATTCAATTTGGAGCTCATTTTTAAAATGAGTCCTAGTAGTTCCTTCTCAATTCATCACTGAAAAGATATAGAGTGACCCCTTTAAACCCAGTCACCAGACTCAAAAAATATCTCAAGCACAGGGAATGATCAGAAAAAGCATGTGGGAAACCCTACAGGACAAATGCCAGTTGCTTCAACAGATAATGCAGTGCACAGACCTTATTATTTATCCCGATTTGAACAAAACAACTATTACAAAAAGAGAGAAGGGGGGCAGGGAGACACAACTAGGGACATGGAACACAAGTGGATGCTGAAAAACAACTGAAGAATTATTGTTTTCAAAGCAGAATAATAGTATTGTAGATAGCATGGGTAGCTCCTTGTCTCTTAGATATATACAATCAAATACATGAGGATAAAATACATTTTTGGGATATGATTTTTAAAATTTCAGCTTTTTTTTAAAAGATATATTTATGTATACAAAAACTGGGGCATCTCAGTGAAATAAAGAACAGGAAGACTGACTGAATACACTGCTGAGGGGAGCAACAGGCAAGTCAGGAGAGGTCTGCTGCTCCCTGGCCAGGGATCGAACTCATTCTGCAGTGGCTGTGTAGAGCTTCATAGGTTGCCTCTTAACCCTTTGCGCCACCCGTGAGGCCCTCAGCTTTTTTTTAAGGTGGAAGAAGAGTATAAACCAAACAAGAATTGCTAGGAATTGTAATTGTATAAGCTGGTCATGTGTTAACAGATCCAAGGTACTGCACCTTAAGGAGGCTATCAGTTCCTTCAAACACTGAGGCGGCCTCTACATTCAATTTGAGTGGAAAAGGACCTTTTCTTGCCACTAGACTATATTGTAAAATGCTAGTATTACTTATTACTTTTATTACTCGGATGCAAATGGGGAAATATATAGGTTATTTTAAAAACAAAAACATGGCCTCACTGGTGGCGCAAGGGGTTAAGAACCGTACTATGAAGCGATCTGCAGCCTCTGCAGCACAAGTTCGATCCCCGGCCTGACAGGGAGAAACCACATGGCGCAACAGACCTCTCCTGTCTCACCCGCTGCTCCCCTCAGCAGTGTATTTTAGTCAGTTTGCCTGTTCTGTTCCCTGCTCTGTCTCTGGTGAATCCTCTCACCCTCCCGCGCATCTAGCCTGTACCCCAGCTCTTGTATGCATAAATAAATAAATCTTTTTAAAAAAATGCTTTAAAATGCAATCACAAGAGAGTATAAGAGTAATCATCTCCTTATTTTCTATCTACTAAAAATATGTTCAGTTTGTCTAAGGTGATCATCCCATTAAGTAACATGACTTCACTGAAAGGGAAAATTCTTCCCCAGTGCATCCTCTATGAGACAAACAATGGAAAATTTTCACCTCAGCAAGCTGGCCTGAGGAAGGCTCAGGCTCATCTGTTGCCTAGATACCAGAGACTTCTCCTATGCTTATGGAAGGCTCTGGCACCCCTCTGCAAGGGACACTGGCTAAGGTTCTTCTGTAAGTGGTAGCTCCTTTCTCACACATTCCACTGCCCATACAGATACAGGGCTGATGAAATACAATGTACTTATCTGCAAGGCCTCCAGGCACAAAAGAAGTCTGTTCTATGTGCTAAGTGGGTTTTTACAATTATATCAACTCTAGTCCTTGTTCTCATCAACTTGATTTCTAACAATTTCTGTGAATTCTAATATAAAGTCACAAAGCAGGTAAAACAAGGCCTAACAACAGTTAAGTTTTTCTGCAAAAAAAGGTACGAAGCAATCAGCTAGCCTATTATGTTAACTACGATAAAATATTCATTTTGTTCTTTTTAATTCTGATCCTGGCTAAAGGTAAAACAACACACCACCCTGAAGCTTCTCTTTAAAAACTTAACACCAGGTTATAGGATGCAATTATGCAAATTCCAAAGGCGCAACCTATGAAAATAATCATCTTAGACCACTTAAAATGTTACTCCGCTAGAAGTGCAAATACAGCAATTAAATTCATCAAAATTACTGTAATCATGGTGGTTTATAAAAAATATACAACTGGCTACTTGCAACCCACTTTTCAAAAGTTTCAGTACTTTCTCTTGTAACTATTTTTCGTAAGACTTTTATTCCTGTTCTATGTATGTTCTGCCATGGAAATGTTTTATTCCGAGCAGCGACTTCTATTTTATTTTTCTATTTTCACAACATTGGATCTAGTTTCTCTGCTAAAGCAGCATTCTTAATATGAGACCAAAGAAAATCCTAAAATGAAACCAATCATTAGGATGCAAGAGACAAAAGCAGTCTGTAATCAAATGTGAAAAAAATAAAAGCTCCACCTATGATTAGGCTATCACTACCGAAAAGGCATCCTCTGAACCATTTTAAGACTTTGGTTGGATAATAAGGTTAGGTGTGCAGATTGCCCCACCAGACATCAGCTGACAAACCCAACTGGCACTCAACACTCAAAATGGCTGCACAACTGCGGGCCCCAGGTAACAGCACCTGCGGCGTTGGGCGCACTCCCCCACCCACACACCCAGGGAGCTCTCCCTCACTAACTCGGAGACTGTGGATGCCAATATCCTGGGGAGATCCCCCCGCCCATAACCCGACAGACCTTCCCCCTCAAGACCCGGGAAAACCTCAATAACCGTAGGATATCCGACACCCCCAAAATACCCGAGACCCCTCCCCCTAATGACTAGGGAAGATTCTGACCCTCAAAACCAGGAGAGATCGTCCCTCTCCAACGACATGAAGAAATAAAGCCTCTCAAATGACAAGAGGAAATCCGGTCCCACAAAGACCCTAGCAGACCTCCCCCCTCCCACTGCAGGAGCCCCTCCCCAAGAAACGCTGGGCATGTCGCTTATGAACAGCGGCCTCGCTCCCCAACAGCGCGGAGAAGCCGTCCTCCCAAGCTACCGGGGCGGCAGACATAGAAGCCCGGGAAAGCGGGCGTTACCTGCGGCCTCGGCCCGGTTCCGCGGCGCTTCCGTCCTATTGTTTCTCTCACACCAAGATGGCTGCGGCCGCGCCGAGCCCCGCCCCCCGCGCCTCGCTCCCGGCGCTTCCTGCTATTGGCTCGTAGCGGGAACCCACTGCCCGACTGGGCAGCCCGAAAAGCGCTGTTGCTAGGGTGCGGCGAGTCCCAGCGGCGGCTTCCGGGTGAGGCGGGATACGGGGCGGGGCTAGAGGGCGGGGCTGGAGGGCGGGCGGGGCCTGGTCGGCCTCCGCTGGGGAGGGGTGACCCCGGCGGTGAGGTGGATAATTGGGTGGCCGGATGGGTGAAATGCGGGGGTGCCTGGGAGCTGATGAATCAACCAACCGTTACATTTTTCCTGGGTGCAAGGGGTTTACCTGGATGCGGGACTTTCAATGCTAACATCAAGATAGACCAAGCAGTTGGTCAGCCTAGCAGACAGGTAGACCAAAGACAGGATGTGGACACATGGAAAGATGGACAAGAGCGACTGCAGATGGTGGATAAAGGAGTGGTTATATGCACAGCTGGACAGATGACTGGATGTAAAGGGGTAGACAATGACTAGACAGAGAGGAATGGACAGAATAATGGCTGTATAGTCGTCTGCGAACTGTGAATGACCCAGTGTTCAACCCAGTTCCCAGGGCCCTCCAACTGCAGTGTTTATCTGAGGCTCATTTGTCCTGGGCCCTGTATCCGCAAGAAGGGCTCCCACCTGAATGAATGCCAGTGTAGCTGGGAAAGGCAGGGAGGAGACAACTGCTACTGAAAGTGGCAAATGTCCTTACCTGACATTAACTCTTTCTCTAAGTGTGGTATTCTTGCAACCCTGTGTGTTGGGCATTTGCACAGCTGTGGATTCAAGCAATACTCACTCAGCAAGTATTTTACTGAGCACCTATGTTATGTGCTGGAAATACTGCAGTGAACAAAAACAGGTGTGTGTGTTTAATAATGTCTGCCCTTGGGGCCTGCCCAGTGGCGCAGCGGTTGAGCGCTGGGTTGTGAAGCTGCCCGCAGCCTCTGCAGGGCCGGTTCGATCCCCGGCTGCCAGCGAGGGTCCCACATGGCGCGCAGACCTCTCCTGCCGCGCCCGCTACTCTCCTCAGCAGTGTATTTCATTGGTCTGCCTGTTCTGTTCCCCGCTCTGGCTCTGGGGAATTCTCTCACCCTCCCGCACTTCTGACTGTACCCAGTGCTTGTATAAAATAAATAATAAATAAATCTAAAAAAAAAAAAAGATGCTTTAAAAAAAAAAGTCTGCCCTTAGGGTTGGGCAGAAAAGACTTCCTGTGACCAAGTGATCTCTCTTCTCTTGGAAACACCTTCCCTGTGTAGCTTCCAGACTCCATGCACTCCTGGTTTCCTCTGATCTCACTGGTTCCTCCTCTTGCCTCGTCTCACTCTGTCCATACTGTCTCCCTCATAATCCTGTCTACTTCAAATTCCACTGACATGTCAACCACTCGCCATCAGACCCTCCCTGCATGCTAGACACAACATTTAGCTGTCCACTAGGCATCTCACTCTGACGTCCATTTCACTTCTTAAACTCAACTTGTGTCACCTGAGGTCTGGTTTATGCCCCAAACCCACGTCATCCCATCTCCCCTAGCTCAAGAGCTCAAGGGATAGCACCTCAGGCCAAATGACTCAGAGTACCTCTTGACTACTTTATCTCGCACTTACTTTTATCTCGCACTTACTTTCAGCGCACCAGAGAGTCTTGTTGCTTCCATCACATCATCTACCCAGAATGAGACCACTTCTTGCCAAGTCCACACCTAGTCCAGGTCACCACCACTCCTCTCCAGGGAAATGTCATAGCACCTCCAATCTCCTGCTGCCACCCTTGCCACCTTCAGTCTGTTCTCCACAAGTTAGCCTGTGAATATGTCAGATGCCTGCATACTCTGCTCAGAACCCTGGCAAAGCACCTCCCTGAGGAAAAGCTAGAGTGGCCCCATGATTCCCCATTGCCTCTCTGACAGTATCTCTTCTGTTTGGCCTCCAGCCCCACTGTTCAGTGTCCCAAAGTGTGTGTGTGAGTGTGTGTGTGTGTGTGTGTGTATCTTACAGGAACATTTATACATGCCATGCAGGAAATGACCCTTAAGTGTCCAGTGACATTCCATGTCGCCATCTAGCATAGCATGCTGAAATTTAGTCAGGTCAGCACTCCATCTGCCTTGTGCTCCAAATTCAGCTGGTTAGTGGGAGCCCTGGGCACATATAGGACTCAAACCTTTCAAAGCTTCTTCTATCAGCACTCCTGATTTTATAACTGATGAAACCCATCAACCTTATTCCTACTCAAATCTCTGGGTAAGCTTGGGTATAGTAGGATTTCATGGGGATCCAAACATTTTAAATAAAGCCTTGAAGTATCTTGGCCAGGACTGAAGGCTCAAGCCACTCATGGCCAACAACTGGGAAAGTTTCAGTTTTTCATTTCTGTATAGTATTCCATTAAATGATTATACCACAAATTATTGATCCATTCTATTTTTTTAAAGATTTATTTATTTTTATACAAGAACCAGAGTACAGGCCAGATGCGTGGGAGGGTGAGAGGATTCACCAGAAGATTCACCAGAACAGGCAGACTGATGAAGTACACTGCTGAGGGGAGTAGCGGGCGCAACAGGAGAGATCCACCACGCCATGTGGGACCTTCACCCGCCGGCCGGGATCGAACCGCCGCTGCAGAGGCTGTGGACAGCTTCACAGCACGGCACTCAACCGCCTGCGCCACCAGGGGAGGACCTGATTTTTTTTTAATAAATCTTTTTTTTTTTTTAAGATTTATTTATTTATACAAGAGCTGGGGTACAGGCCAGAGGCAGGAGGGTGAGAAAATTCACCAGAGACAGAGCCAGGAGTAGAACAGGCAGACACACCGAAAATCTCGGGACTCTCATTTATAGAAATAAAAGCTCTGGGAAGGTCAGGGATATTTATTTTACTACATCATGTGTAGTGGAAAAATACCTGCAAAGTGACATGTCTTTCACAAGGGCATGGTTGCATGCATTTTGTAACTCCTCATTGTTCTGGTTACTATGCTTCATAACAAGTGACCCACCTTCAGTAAAATTGTAACACTTATTTTGCTCCCAAATCTGGGATTTGGGCAGGATTCAGTGGAATGTTTTTCTCTGCAGCATCAGTCTGGGCAGCTTGAAAGCCGCAACTGGAATCACCTGAAGGCTCCTCACTTGAAGTCTAATATTTGATGCAGGCTGTCAGCTAAGACATTTGCTGGGGCTGGAACATTCACATGTGGTCTCTCCATATGTCCCGGGCTTCTTCGCAACATGGTGGCTAGATTCCAAGAAGGGATTGTTCCAAGAGAGAGATGGCTAGATGGAAACTGGATGACCTTTTCCAACCTAGATTCCAAAGTCACAGTGTTCTTTCTGCCTTATTCTTTCTTTCTTTCTTTCTTTATTTTTTAGAGGCATGTTTTATTTATTTATTTGTTTGTTTGTTTGTTTGTTTTGTTTATACATGCACTGGGTACAGTCAGAAGCGCGGGAGGGTGAGAGAATTCACCAGAGCCAGAGGGGGGGGGGGCAGCGCAGACAGAAGGACCGAAGTACACTGCTGAGGGGAGCAGCGGGCGGCAGGAGAGGTCTGCGCGCCAATTGGGACCCTCCTCCGGTGGCTGGGGAGAAGCTGGAAAATGAACCGGCGCTGCAGAGGCCGCGGGCAGCTTGCAACCCAGCGCTCAACAGCTGCACCACCGGGGAGGCCCCTTTCTGCCTTATTCTATTCATTAGAAGCAGAGTCACTAAGCCATGGTTATATCCAAGGAGGGTGATAATTACACTGATCTTTTGTGTGGACAGGTTTTATGTCACCATCAAAAAGAATGACCTGGCATAATATCATTTGATTTGGAGGGTCTGCCACAAAGTTGGGATGAGTTAAAAAAGATGCAGAAAAGGGGCCTCCCTGGTGGCGCAAGGGCTTAAGACGCAAACTTTGAAGCTATCCGCAGCCTCTGCAACACAAGTTCCATCGCTGGCCGGCCAGGGAGCAACGCACATGCTGCAGCAGACCTCTCCTGTCTCGCCCGCTGCTCCTCTCAGCTCCTCTCAGTCAATCTACCTGTTCTGTTCCCCACTCTGTCTCTGGTGAATCCTCTCAGCCCCCACACCTCTGGCCTATACTCCAGTTCTTGTATGCATAAATAAATAAATGTTAAAAAAAAAAGAAAAAAGATGCAGAAAAGTGTGTATAAAGTTATTTCAATGTGTACAACAAAGATAAACCACTCTGTATAAATGTATGCACATATGTATATTACATACATCATTTATTATATATATGCTATATTAATATATTATACACACATTTATTATGATATATGCAAAGAGAAATACAGGGACCATATATCTTATAACCAAGGATTTCAGAGAGTGAAGGTGATAGAAGAGAGAGGCAGGAGTAAACAAACGAGAAAAAGATGAAAAGCTGCTAAAACCAGCAGTTAAGATGGGTTTTCCCTTATGCATTTAATTGGAGGTATATATTTAACTGTATGAAGAGAGCGTTGTTTTTTTTTTTTGAAGAGAGTGAGTTTGAGAAAGGTATGCTTTGATCAAGAAATTAAGGAAGTAATGACCACCTTACCATAAAGCTCAGGAAAGAGAAGGGAGGAGTTACTGGTGGGCCAAGAGGGGCTTCAGGGCACTGACAATGTTCTTCATCTGGGTTGACCTGTGAGAAATCATTGAACAGAATGTCTTTGCTTTAGGCACTTTTCTGTATTTGATATATTCCACACTTAAAACAATGTAAAATAAAAAATGCAAAGCACACTTTACAGAAGGTTCCCAGTTGGTAGAGTGAAGGGGTGGGAGAGGACCCCCAGCTCCTATCACAGCTTATTAGAGTGTCCCAGAAGGAGGTGTAAATCTGGAGTGAGTAGCATGGAGATAAAACCCAAAGCCATGCTGTTCCTGACAAAAATCTCATAGTAAGGAAGAAAGGCGAATCCACCTGGAGTCCTGGACCATTCCAACATTTAACCATAGTCCAGGTTAATGT